CATAAAATTCTAGATACTAACAGTTTGAACAGACATGAAAGTGTGATCTTGTTAGCTGATGCATAGGAAATCCTGATTAATAAATAAAAATTCATATGTATCACTAATTAATAATACTTGGTCAAAATTCCTGACTGTCTATATCTTCTTATGGAGACGTTAATAGATGTTTTTAGAACTGTTTACCCACACACTCATGCACAAAGGCAGACCATTATTTGTAAGTTCGAGGTCAAAAATTTTGATCAAACCTCATACAATTTTGTTTATTATACTTGTTAATACTTGTTTTATGACTCATGATTGGACAATGTTTTTAAAAACAAGAAATGTTCCTTTTATACTTATAGAAACCTCTGTTATGTTAATTTCGATTAATTTCCCTGAAGAAGTTCGGACCAGATTGACGAACGAAACGTTGGAATTACTGATTTTAGTCTCGCTGAGATTTTACAAATATTAATAATTTTTTACAAATATCTACTTCTCACTCTTCGCCCATATATTTTAGAACTATTCGGTCAAATCTTGACGACAGTTCATTTGAGTTATTCTGTACTGCTTGTGACTATTTCTAAGAAAGTTAAGCCATATATCTGCGAATCGTATTTGCACACGTTAAATCTACTGTGATTGGTTGGTTGTTGAGTTCCTCAAAGTTAAGCTCTGTTATTGTTTTTTTTCTAATGACTGCGATTCGGCATGTAAACATTGACGTAAATTGTTGTCGATAGTTTTTGGCTTGCAACTAGCTCCCACCAATCATTAAATGCAGAGAGGAGAAATAGTGGAACCATATAAAGGTAGTTGGAAAGTTGTGTGAGTAGTGTCTTGATATGATTATATGAACAGTAATAAATCGTTCTCGAAAAGTGGTCATCATTAAAAATTACTGTTAGTATTTATCAAAATAGATTTTTCCCGCAACGAAATTATACTATACCACAGTTGACCCAACGTTATTCTTATAATATATCAATAGTTCAATCGCATATTTATGGTATATTGTCACTGTAAATTCTGTCCAAATTTTAGACCAAAGTTATTGATACATGCCGATGCACATATACAATCAGAAATACACACACACACACACCCGTGAAATTAACACACATAATTGTTACTTTGATTTATGCTTTTATATTCATTTCTGTGACATGATTTGAATCCTTCTCTAATCAATAATAATATTACTTTGCATTATTTTATGATATTGATAAGCAAAACAAAATCGATAGAAAGAGAACACTACAAACTGGTTGCATTCCTATTTCTCAAACACAAGGCAGTACACTGCAGTATACAAGGGTAAATCCTCGTCTGCTGTGCTCACTGAAGTTGCTGTCCCCACAAGGTGCTGTACTCTCCCCACTTCTCTTTTCATTCATTCTTTCTACATGACTTACCATCTTCAAATGACATTAATTTTGTTAAATATGCTGACGATCTGACTGTATCTTTTTGCTTGTCGAGTGTCAAAGTGACTGCTTCAAACTAAATGGCTTTTTATCAGAAATCAACCAGTAGTTGTCCAAGGAAAACGGTCTTACCTTAAATCCCTCTAAATATCAAACAGTCAATTTCACCTTTAGGCATAAGTCTGACCTAAACAAACTGGTTAGAACTCAAGAGGTGTACAACATAGATGGCACTGGAATAGAAACCAAGTCGGAAATTAAATACCTAGGCGTCATTCTATGTGCTGATCTTTCCTGGTCGTCTCATATCTTGATGATTTCTAAGAAAATATTCCCTATCTTACCTTCTACATCGAGAAGTTAAGACATTCTGGAATAACCCAACCCTTACTCCTACAATTCGTTAAGTCTTGCATTCTGCCTATTATTCTCTATTGTTCCGCCTTAGTTTTACCAGGGCTACTAAAGAAAGACTATACCTCATTACGTAGGATGTTAAAGGTTGTCAGAAGGGTAAGCAACGTGCCATTTAACCATCTTATTAATATTCTGGTCGACAGGCACATGGACTCATGTGAAAAATGGGCTAAATTCATTCTATCTATCTAACTCACACCACTACCCTCTTCATTCACAACTCTACCCTCCTTGTATCTCATCAGGCAAAACCAGAAGCCTATATTCTATAGCCTATATGCTCGCACTGCCAAGTACAAAGACTCAACCATACCCTACTTGGCTCGTGTTCTGTGGCATAAAGAAAGCATTAGGCTTGAAACTTATAACTTATTAAATAGTCAGTAGAACAATTGGCTGTCGTCTTTCCAACTCATATCATTTATGGATTCAACATTTTCTTTCTTTTCCTTTTCTTTTCTGTTATATGGTGCTTTGTTTCTTTCTTCCTTACAAACTCTATTTAAAACATTCTTCTTCGTTCTTTCACACTCTGTATATCTCGACCTTCTTGTTACCGCTTACGCCAGTAAGTATGCTAGTAGTATCTACTTTTGTAACACCTTCAAACACTCTGTTCAATTCTGACTTTGCTACCGACATGCCAATATGTTGTTGTCAAAATGAACTAACTGAGATTACCCTTAATCTATGTAGGATTTTATTTGTTGTTAATGTACTAACTGGATGCGATACTGTAGTAAAATGCTGAGAATTCCATTGTGTATCACAAGTACTGTTTCGGAATAAAGCAAATTATTATTATTATTACATATGATTGAATACAGCAGATTCAATGATAAGCTTTGTGCCTTTAGAAATCACCAACTCACTGACCGTTTACGGCAGTCTGTCTTACTATCACTGATAAATGTTCTGTGTCTTGCCTTGCTGATCCTGACTGGTTTTAACCACTTCATCTGTATTGTCTAGTAGATGTGTGCAGATGGTTATTCCCTTCAAGTTTCTCTCATTGATAGTGATTGATGCCTGATCGTCTCCATTGGTTAGATATCTTCATCACTGGTGTCCACTTGAAGTTGTGTCTTCGCCTACACCCACCTCTCCCGCCGACCTGATGGTTTTTGTCTGGAGACCTTTAAATTTGCATAACATTAAAAAAATATTATTCATCCACGAAGTTCAGATCTTCCAGAGTGTTTATTTAATTAGCGGATGGTGACTAGCGGTGGAATCCAGGATAAACCGCATTTCGTCCTATTTGGGACTCGTCAGCTGGATGTACCTGCATTTCCCAGTGAGTGATGATGTCCCTGTCGAGGCTCGAACCCAGTGCCCATAGTTTCAAACGCCAAAGTGTTATCAACTAGACCACTTGGGCAACGAGAGCTGGCCACCTCTTGTGCAACGGGCCATATTAATTTAATTGAATTTTAGATTTTCTGGTCGATTGATTGGACCGAAGTGCTCGGTCTCAGTTTGACATGTCTGTTGGCTTCTTGTGCAGATGCTTCGACGATGTCTGGGCATTTAGTTAGTATTTAATTTGTGGATGGTGACTAGCAGCGGAATCCAGGATGCGCAATTCGTCCTATTTGGGACTCGTCAGCTGGATGCTTTGTCCGTTCAACGTATTTCTGTCTCCTCACTCTCTTTCCACGATGTGTCTCATGATCTAGTCCATCACAACCAGGAATTTCACCATCGGTGAAAGTAAGCAGCCTTATTATTTAACGCCTGTCTCCCCTTCAAAGATATCCCTGGGTTTTTCATGGTAAATCACTTCAGGTGTGGCCTAATCATCATATATCTGTTGAATGAGGTTGATAAAGCTTTTGGCGGGGGACAGTCCGTTGTTTTTTAAGGAAGTAATTGAAGATGAATTAAGCACATCGTATTATGATACTTTGATTGAAAATAGCTCTACCGAAACATTTATCAAGAAACACATGACAAAGAAAGCGGCGGAAAAGGACTACTCACTATCTGTAAAGAAGAAGCCACTTTATATACGATTTCGATTCAAGGGCGATATACAACCAAATGAGATAATTACGAGGAAATTAAGAGAATCAGTTTAAAGAACTTTTAATCCTGGCGAACTACACGTATTATTATTCTCTACACGACCGATGGTAGTGATTCCTGGACTGAAAGATGAAGTGACTAGATTAGACTAGTCACTTCAAATTGTATCTACCAATTCAAGTGAGCTTGTGGTGGAGCGAGTTATATTGGTCGTTGCTCTAGGAACTTGATTTCTCGTGGTCGCTTGCTCGAGAACATCTCCCACTATGGCTAAGTAAAGGTGTAGTGAAAACCATTAATAGTTCGATATTGGACCATGTACTGCAAACTGGCCGGCCACAAAGGCAGCCAGTGTGGAAGAACCCTTCTCCATCATCATCTCTCGGGTGCGTAATAAATTGCTGAAAACATCGAAGCACCTCACTCTTCAAACAGCAGAGGCTATCGGAATTCGCCTCAAACAACCAGCGCTCAGTGTTCAAAAGAAACAAGTCCAGCTAGCCCTGGCCGGCCTTCAGTAGAGACTATAAATTCATGAATTTATAATATTGTCTTTCCTAATTCTTCTGACATTCAGCTTATTTTATGTTGGTGCTATTGAGCTGTAATCTATCACGGTTATTGATTCGATGTTATTTAATCAGCAACATTAATGTTGTTCATAAAACTAACTCATTCATTTACTATAATGTATATATAACTGTAGAGCCTTATGAAGAAGGGATTATCTAAATGAGTACTCTTTGTTCAGTATCCATTCTTTTGAAATAGTTTCCAAATCACTTCCACATTAACGATGTTGAAGGCTTTTTCAAACTTATCTTACATTTATCTACCAGTCAGTCCTGAGGTGGGAACACAAGGGGGCTCCAAACTTTGAGACTTCATCAGCGATTTTGTTGCTTTTGTTTTAATTGAACAGGGTGGTTGTAAAATTCACCTCTAAGCTTCCTTTTTTTGACGGATAAACTAAACGAAGTTGTAGGAGTGCAACTATCGACTGAAGATTAAAACTCTGGGAGTGATATGCGTGAATCACTGACGTACACTTGTTTATTTAAATACTTGCTGGGCAAACTAATTTCTGATTGTTTTCTTAATACCATGTATGTTCTTTATTGTTTGTTATCATTTCAGATGATCAAACGAGAGTTGTTCTACGAAATACAAATAATCAGAATCTCATAAGATTTTCAGAGGTAAATATCCCATTTGTATTCTCCTTTTGTTTTTCAATGTATTATGCTATAAATGAATTAACTGGTTCATAAATTATATGGGATTGCACTGTTGACGTGTCTCGAAGTGGAACTCAGCAGATTTGTACTTGAATTCGAAGTAATGCAGTGTGAAAAAAATCTGTCAAAATTCAAAAAACAAACAGGTAAGATGTGAATTGGCAGAAGTTGAAATTCATGAACTGGCGATTGGATCGAATCTCAGTGGTTGACTAATGTTCTATGAGCTAGCCTTGTAACTGAAAGGTCATAGGTTCGAATTCCAGCAGTAAGTGTATACTACTGAACAATCCCAAACTAGGGGCTGATTGTCCAGTACTCTCTGATTTGTTTTCCGCCAATGTTTCTCTAACCTATGTTAGCTCATGATTTGTTGTTAGTGCGTACTGCCGATGACACTCTCAAACTAGGCTGACGAAATAGCTGTCCAGTACTCCCTGTGGCTGGTTTCCAATGGTTCTTTAACTGGATATATCAATCCGTGATCAAACTCGTCAAAACAAAACTAACCCTTACAAACGAAACTATAAAAAATTAATCTGATACTCATTAGTGACTTGCTACAGGATGGAGTTTCCTGGAGTTTTAGTGAGAAGTCGTGACCAGTGAGGTTCATCCAAATGTCAAGTGTGAGGATGGATGTCCCACCTACAACATTGATTGGTGCCAGTCACACTAAAGCACGAATTGGTAGAAGTTAGAATTCATACACTGGCCAGTGAATTGGGTCCCAGTGGCTGAATGGTATACGAGCCAGCTCGCCTTGTAACCAGAGGATCCTGGGTTCGAACCCCCCTGACGATGGGTGCGTTCTCCTGATGATTCCCGAACTAGGACGGAGGATATAGCTGTCCAGTACCTCCTATGGCTGTTTTTCAATAGTTCTCTAACTGATATTAATCCGTGATCAACTTGTAAAAACAAAACTAATCTTTACAAACCAACTATAGAAAATTAATTGTTATTATTATTATTATTGTAATTTCCATTATTCTTTTATTTCAGTTATCTACAAATTTAAATGTTGGTTATATTAATGCTAATTTTATAAGAACTATAGAACCGCCTATCTCATCAAATGACACCATCCTTCGTGCGAGTAATCATTGTGAATTTATTGCAACACAAGGTCCAATTAAATCGACAATTAGCGATTTCTGGTATATGATATATACATTTAAATGTCCAATTATTGTTATGTTAACAAAGTAGGTAAACGACAATTTAAAAAAACAAACAACCAATTCAAATTTGTTTTAATCATTGGTATTGTTTTGTGTGCGCACTATTTAAAACTTTTTATAATGATGTATAGTATATGTAGGTTGAGGATATGAAAGTAAGATTACAAGGGGTGTTTACTCATCTGTTTATAAAAGATGTCGATAAATCATCGTTGACAGTGACGATAGGTGTGGAAACAGGGCGAAGTACCCGAGGATTGGAAGAAAGGATACTTATTCAAACTAACAAGCAAAATACTAAGCCGCATCATCCTGGAGAGAATCAAACAAGCCCTGGATGAAAAACTTCGACAGTAACAGGATGGATTCAGGAGAAACAAGTCATGTATTGATCAAACTACCACACCACGGATCATAATTGAACAAAGCTTGGAATGCCAGTCACCTCTCTATTTCAATTTCCTTAACTTTGAAAAGGCCTTCGACAGCGTCGATCGAGAGGTGATTTGTCAACTACTTCGCTACTACGAGGTCCCATTGACAATTATACATCTCATTCAACAGTTGTACGACAATGCTGCATGACAAGTAATCCACTACGGGAATCTCACAGAATCCTTCGAAGTGAGGACGGGAGTGAGGCAAGGCTGCCTACTATCACCAATGATCTTCCTGATTGCAGTAGATTGGATAATGTGACAAACAGACAACGAGCAATGAGGAAACAGGCATAAAATGGACTCACACAAAAAAGGACTTGGAGGATCTAGACATAGTCGATGATATATATCTGCTTTCGCACAAACTGGAAGATATGCAAGTGAAAAACAACAAGCTGGCGACTGAAGAAGCATCCAGAGAAGATAGGACTTCAGGTGAACATAGAGAAAACAGAGGTGATGAAGATTCCTGGCCAACAGCGACAGCAGCAACAACAACAGACAACAATCAGCCAGCATAAATGGGAGAAATCTGAAAGAAGTAACCTCCTTTACCTACCCACCTACCTGGGAAGCATCGTTTCAACTACTGGCGGACGGAACTGACGAGGATATCAAGGCGAGGATCGGAAAAGCAAGGCAAACTTTGATTGCTCTCAAGTCTGTGTGGAGATCAACACTCAGCACTCAGCATCAAAAATACGATCCGGATTTTCAAGTCAGTGCTACTCACTATACGGATCAGAGGCTTGGCGCCGCGTCATGAAGAGCATCTGAAACAAACCACAGACCTTCATCAACAGCTAGCTGTCTTCGCTTAATACTTCGCTCAAGATCAGATGGCCGGACAGAGAAGATCAGCGACAGGGATCTCTGACAATGAGCGAACCAACTCAACAGGAGATGATTATGGTGAAAATATAAAGGAAGAAATGGAGGTGGATTGGCCATACTCCGAGAAAGCAAACCATCAAGTAACATCACAGGCCAGACCCGAAAGGGAAGCAGCGAGTTGGTCGTCAGTAAGAGGGTGACATGGAGGAGGTCATGAAGAGAAGAGGAGATGAAAGCATGTGGGCAGACTTGGAGCCAGGTGAGAACTCTAGCAGAGAACCGAAAGTAATGGAGACGCGCAGGTGAAGCCCTATGTTCCTCTAGGTATTAAAGGAAGTAATAATAATAACAATAATAATGATAATAGAGACGATATATATATATATATATATATATATATATATATATATATATATATTGCATTCCAGTCGCATATGACTTCTTTGGGATATTCAACTGATCATAAAATTGACTGCATCTGTTTCATCCAGCGGTGGTGGAAACGAGAGGGGGGGTAAATTTGCATTGACGAAAACACCTATACTCTGACTAACTAACTGACTGACCGACTGACTGACTGATTGTTTTCAGCGTAGAACTTTGAACAGATGAGCAGCAGTTTGAGTTACCACTCTCCCTTCACGTAGCACACGAAGCAAGAGAAGAGAGCATAGGGAGAGAGATAATGAACAGAAGTGGGAGTGAGGCAAAAAGAAGAATAGTAAAATGGAAATACAATAGATCAATCACAAAGAATCAATGCACCTTCGCCAGCCAGCCATTGGAAGCGACTTTGAGCCATACCAGCAATTGTCTCCAGTCTTCATTAGTTTTTACCATCCCGTCCACTGTAACCAGGAAGCCAATCTACACCTCCCTCCGTGGCTGGCTGGCTGACTTACACTAACTGTTGTGGATTTGATTGACTAATGAAGACATGTTTTGGTCTGGCTACCACCACTAGCTAGCTCTTTTCCAACCTGATCCATCATATGTCAGTCATCTAACATTGCTCATTGTCGAGGAAGGCGGTGGCTAGGCATGCATGTTTAACACATGTCCCAACCATCTCTCCCGAACGATGCAGCTGCTTCACAACCACCTCGCCGATTGATTTTCTTCCTAACCTAGCACTCGACCAACGCCTAACCTCAATATTACTCCTCACCCTGTTACACCTTCCACTTAACACGAGAGGTAGAACACAGACAGACACCTATGGTCAGAAACAGCCAGCTAGCCAGCCTTTTCATGTCTTCCACTTTCAATAGCCATGTCTCACAGCCATCAGGATGGTCAGAGTGAACTGCTGGTGTGCAGTGTACACCACTCCCCCGCTTCAATCAACAGCCAGCAGGTTATAACGTGTACGCCAGAGATGGTGTATACTATACACACCCTATGCTCATCCATGCAGATAAAACCTTCATCAATTGTACCTTTTAGCTGTAAGCTGTTTACTCTTAAGACAGTAGTGATAATGTACAGTAGTTTATACTACTGATGGATGGATATGAGTAGCTGGAAATCGAAACACCAGACAGTCCTTCCACTCATATATATATAACGCCGGAGTCATCATACGGTGTACTCTAAGGAAACCATCAAGTGACACTAAGTGATAGGCCTTTATTCGCTTGGAACCCGTATAGGAAACGATGAGTTGAGGGGGTGGGTGGGTATGAGAGTGACACGGAAGAGATCGCGTGTGAAGACGAAATGAAAGTTTGTAGATAATCGTAGGACCAGGTAAAGAGGATCGAAGAGAAACTAATGAAATGGAGATGCGCTTTTGAAGCTGTATGTTCCAACTGGAACCTAAGGAAATAATAATAGTAACAATAATAATAATAATAGTAATAAATTTTTTAAAATTTTTTTATGTTCCCATTGGAACACAGGGCGGCTTCAATCTAGAGGCTTTTGAAGTTTCGGTATCGATGGTGTCTTATTTTTACGGGATGGAATTGCTCGCCTCATGCCCAACCGCCCCTCTGTACCAGTCTTATTAGTGGCTTAGTGAGGTAAAGGAGTGCATCGACCGACCGGGGATCGAATCCCGGACGACATGCGTGGTCGGCGAGTATTCTACGTCTGTGCCACCGACGCACAGTAATAACGATAATAATAGAACAAAATGGCCTCTACAGAGGAGTATTGTTTAATTCGTTTAATCTGAATAGAAAAAGCACTTAGACAGGACAATCAGTATACACATTTTCACAGATTCGTTCCTGTCAAGTAAAATAGAAATTTAGTGAAGACCCTCAACCACACGGTTAGTTAGAGTTATATGCTCAGAAGAAGTAATTGAGGATGAATTAAGCACATCGTATTATGATACTTTGATTGAAAATAGCTCTACCGAAAAATTGATCAAGAAACACATGACAAAGAAAGCGGCGGAAAAGGACTACTCACTATCTGTAAAGAAGAAGCCACTTTATATACGATTTCGATTCAAGGGCGATATACTACCAAGTGAGATAATTACGAGGAAATTAAGAGAATCAGTTTAAAGAACTTTTAGTGCTGGTGAACTACACGTATTATTATTATCATCTACACGACCAATGGTGGTGATTCCTCGACTGAAAGATGAAGTGACTAGATTAGACTAGTCACTTCAAATTGTATCTACCAATTCAAGTGAGCTTGTGGTGGAGCGAGTTATATTGGCCGTTGCTCTAGGAACCTGATTTTTCGTGGTCGCTTGCTCGAGAACATCTCCCACTATGGCTAAGTAGAGGTGTAGTTAAAACCATTAACAGTTCGATATTGGACCATCTACTGCAAACCGGCCACAAAGGCAGCCAGCGTAGAAGAATCCTTCTCTATAATCCCCTATCGAGTGCCTAACAAATTACCGAAAACATCGTCGAAGCACAGCATGCTTCGCCTCAAACCACCAGTGCCCTGTGTTCAAAAGAGGCAAATCCAGCCCCTACTATTGCCCTGGCTGGCCTTCAGTGGAGACTATACGTTCATGAGTTTGTAATATTATCTTTCCTAATCTGCCTTTCTGACATTCAGCTTATTTTATGTTGATGCTATTGAGCTGTAATCTATCAATATTATTGATTCAATGTTATTTAATCAGCAACATTAATGTTGTTCATAACACTAATTCATTCATTCACTATAATGTACATGCATAACTGTAGAGCTTGATGAAGAAAGGGTTATCGAAAAGAGCACTTTTTGTTTAGTATCCATTCTTTTGAAAATTTTGATTTTATCTTCTCAAATTTTTAGGCTTCAGTGCAACAATCAAACTATTTGTGATTTATATTGGCCAGAAAAATTGAATACTGTTAAACATTACAAATCTGCAAACTATCAAATGGCAGTCAGTCTGCTTGAAGTCAATCAATCCGATTGTTTTACTAAAAGAATTTTCAAGGTTTCATTGGTAAGGTTGTAGGCCACACTATTCCTAACAATTATTATTGTTGTTTTAATTATTGTTCCCTTGGGTTTCTAGTGGAACATAGGGCACGTCACCACTTGCTTCTGTCATCTGCTGTACTTTTCACCTGCATCCATGTTCATCATCCATACTGTTTCAACTCCTCTTCACACGATCTCCTCCATGTCACCCACCCTTGCTTGCACTGACGTCCCACTCGCCGCTTCCCTTTCGGCCTGGTTCCACTTGACCAATGGCCTGACGCGCGAGCGATGCCACCCAGTGGTGGCCTCCTCAGTGAGTGTCCAATGTTTCATCTCCACTTTCTCCTGCATATCTGTGCTGGGCGACTGGTTCTTGTTCCCATAGTTTCTTCATGTTGGTGATTGTTTCCGACCAGGCCATTTGATCTTCAGTATAGAGCCAGCGAAGACAGTTGTTGATAATCCTAACAACTATGCCCTAAATTATAGCGGCGTAGTTCATTGCTATTTTCACATTATAATGATAACAAGTGACTAGAATGCTCATTTCTTCCTACAATGGTTCAAGTGCATTGATGGTTCATTGGTAGAATAGGCCAAGTTGAACTTTAAGCACCACTAACTAACCAACTAACTAACAATCAGCGAATGACCTTGAATAATCCAATGGGTTTTGATCCACATTATTTGAAGGTTCTATTCCGCTTGATTCGCGTCAAATGTCAGGGAAGGTAAACTGATGATTCTAATACTTGTTGGGTGCATTTCTAACTAGGTCCCACTTGTCCTTAAACAAGATTTTGTGTATTTTTAGTTATACTGGGTTTTAAAACAGCCTGTGAGGGAGGTGTACCTGCTGAAACAGAGAAAGTAGTTCCCGTATCAACAGTTCAGTGGTACCAGAACTGTAGAGATATCACGTCATGGAAAATGGAGAGGCTTACTTTGTTACTGGGAGGATAAGGTGTCATCGTACACGAAGAACAATATAGTTTGATTTGAAATCATAAGTCACGAGAAGTGGATGCATCTGCACCAGCTGTTGATAAAGATTTTCAGCCATATCACCAATTGTTTCCAGCCATTGGCTTTTACTGTTCTGAGGACCCCAACCAGGAAGTTTATACCTTCCTGCGTGGCTGGCTTAAACTAACTGTTGTAGATTTCATTGACTGGTGCCATGTTTTGGTTTGACCACCGCTAGCTCTTTCCCAGCCTGACCCTATGTCAGCTAACATTGCTCTTTGTCGAGGGAGGCGATGACTAGGCATACGTAACACATGTCCTAACCATCTCAGTCGATGTAATTTCACAGCCTTGTCTATTGATCTCGCCTCCTTACCTGGCGCTCTACCGACGCCTAACCTCAATTTTGCCCACCTTATTATACCACTTCACACGGGAGATAGAACGCAGGCACCTATGATCAAAGACAGCTGGCTAGTCTTTTCATGTCTTCCACTCTCAATGACCAGGTCTCACAGCTGTCCATAAAAGAGGACGGAGCGGACTGATGAGCGGTACACTCGCCCTTTGGTCTATAGCCGGATATCACGTCTACGCAAGAGACGGCGTAAACTGGCATATGCGAAACTAGCCTTCTGTATCCGTGCTGAGATTTCGTCAGAGATCAACCCGTTGGGGCTGATGGTACTTCCTAAATAAGTGAAGTGATCAACACGCTCCACCAACCACTTAGCTCCCCATTTCTAATCTAGGAGTCAATGTAGTGCAGTCCTGTAACATCATCTTGCATTTGGCGGGAGCGGATATCATCCGTATCAAGAACTGATATATTGAGCACAGATCGAACATTTTGATCCAGCATAATTAATTAATGAATCAAGGTTCATTGACACGCTAATACATACACACACAGATAGTCTTGCCGATGAGGTTGTGACTGAAACCCTATCAACTAGAACGTCAACATATTCCTGTTGATTATATCAATAACATGATATAATACCTAACTGTACCTACTGTAAATGAGTCAGTGTTTCAGTCGTAGTGTAACCACAGAAGACAAGGGCTTGGCAACAGATCGTTTTATTACGGAAATCAACACGTATTTATATAAATTTCACATACATTATTATAGCCTAGTCAAGTAGACAAACACAGTCTTCTGATTGGTTGTTTTCGAGTTCCTCGGAAAGTGGAGCCATCTATCTGTGAATCATATTTGCCCACGTTTAAGTTTGCTGTGATTGGTTGTTGAAACAGCCTTGTTCATATTTTCTCACAGCCCATATTAGTGACCTAGACATTGACGTAGATTAATGTCAACCAATTAGCTAGCAGGCTGCTCTCACTACAGTAGGAATACTTGCCAGCTGTGCACATAGTTGGAGGTTCGACTCCCGGCCGATGCACTTCTAGAACCTCACTTAGCCGGTAAGTATATGGTAGGCAGAGAGGGAGAGAAAGTTGGCCGTATGATCAGTACCGCCGCCCTCCAGTCAAATAAGAAAGAATAACATCAGTGCTACTGAGACTTCAAAGTTGAAGCTTGAAGCCCTCTGTCTTCCGCTTACAACTCAAGTTAGTGTTAGAGAACCATTGATACCAATCCATGGTCATTTTTTTCCTTCACGTTCCCCAATGGAACTTAGGGCTCCAAGCTAGTGGCTTGAAGTTTCTGTGACAGTGTTTATTTTACAGGATGGGGTTGCTAGCACAATCTGTTGACATTTACAAGCATAGTGAATAAGATTTAGTAGTGTGATGAAATGAAACACTCAGCATTTTCTATCCTGTGGAACTTGTTAAATTTTCAGTACACAATCGGATTGCATTTACAATGGGGACATTGTGGAATATTTCCAATCCATTTCTCATCTATTTAGGTAGTTCAGCTGAGGATTATATGTATTATGTATGGGTGATGTGGATATGTTTTCTGAGCTAACCCCCGGGTGATTTAATTGCGAAATTGTCATTGTCTTTCTAATCACCATCATCAGTGCATAATCTTCAATATGAAGTGAACTTATTTGAATTCTGCAAGAATGTGATATAATTATATCTCCCTACTGACAACCTTTGTCGTGATTAGCTACTAGTTTATGTCTTGAGTGATCATTTTTATTGACTTGAAATTTGGCGCTTTTTGTGATGTGATTTATTCTTTGCATATTGGTAAATCTCATCTGTATATATGTTAATTACTGATTCGTCTGAGTACCAGGTTTCTAGAAATTCCCTGGCAATTTTGATATTTTTTGCGAAATGAAAGAATACATATCGTGTATATCCACATCTAGTTTATGATCTTGAACTGGGAGTCGAAGAAGGTTGACCAATATACTACTTAGTCCAGTTCATACAATTTATTTTGTCAGTTGTGTTAATGTTGTCTCCTTTCGCTATTAGATGGGCCTTTTGGTCTGCATAAGATTTACTAAATAAGGTGAGTATGTTTTTTTCCTTCACTTTCCCCAGTGGAACATAGGGCTTCAAGCTAGTGGCTTGAAGTTTCTGGAGCAGTGTTCAATTTTTACAGGATGGGGTTGTTAGCCAGCCTCATGCCCAACCTTTCCTCTTTACCAGAATTATTTCTGGCTTAGGGGGGGGGTAAAGGAGTACGTCGGCCGGGGATCGAAACCTGGACCATGTGCATGGTCGGCGATGCCACCGAGGCACAATCAATCCATGGTCTAACCTGAGACGAATGGAATCCCTACAAACTAATTCCTGACAATTAATCCGCTGCTCGCTAGTGATTAGCTACAGGACAAAGTTGTCTGGAGTTCTAGTGAGAAGTCTTGACTAGTGAGGTCCATCCAGTCAAGTGTGAGGATGAAGTTCCTGTCGATGACACTGGTTGGTGCCAGTTGCACTAAAATTATGAATTAGTAGAATTTACAATTCACAGGTTGGTCATTGAATCAGGTCACAGTGGCTGAATGGTACTAATACAGAATCAATAAGTTGTCCCCTGGGCTCTGTGGTCATGTAACACTAACCCTCTTTCTGTTCTAGGTACCCGAAGAATCAATCAACTTCCATGGTGTAGGCACTTGGGGAAGTAATAACCACTGACACACCTGCAAAAGCACACGAGGCCCTCCTGATCATTCTCCTCCTCCTTTATCCTTGTCACCTTCATCATTGTGCTTCCCTACTACTGTCAGCAAAAAACTCTGCAGACAAGTCAGTCATCTTTATTCCATTCTTCGACCACAAATGACGATCACAGCCAGAAAAACACCCTCGATAGCCTCTTACAGCCACGCCACCAACTTCATTCCCAGCATTTAACGTCAGGACCCTCGGAAAAATTGGACAACAGGCATCACTAGCAAGAACGTTGGCATCCTCAGCCATGGATGTATGTTACATCTCGTAGACGTGCATACAAGACCCTAGTGTAGTCATTCATTTAACCGCACCAAGTCAACAAGGTGAATCTTCAAAATTCACTTCATGGGTGTCAGGAGACCCCTCAGCTAGTTCGCGAGGACTTGCAGGTTTGAGGATAGCATTCAGTGTTAGAGCAGAAAATCCACTTCTTGACTGGATCCCAATAGATAATCGTGTATGTGTGCAGTCCGTCTGAACGGGTTATTTAGGAGGAGGAGGAGCAGGAGGCACGGCGTTACTCTTCGTCGTCTTTTCGTTGTTTCCTCTTACGCCTCAACAGACTGCAGTTCGGATAGGCTAGAGGATGACTTCTACCTGAAACTGTCTATCTAGTTTGCTGTAAAAAAGAAAAACGCTCAGATATAGTTGTTTTAGCAAGCGACTTCAATGACCAAGTAGGGAAGTTATGCCGGACTGAGAAGCATGTAGGTAGCTATGGTAGCTACGGAGTTCCCTGCCGACGAACCGACAATCGTGATCATCTCCTACGCTTTTCTCTTCAGATAGTCGTCTGTTCCTAGTCAGCACTAACTTTAGGCACAAAGAGAGACCTTGCACACGAGCCGGAGAGTTCTGGTTTCGAACCCTGGCGGTGGGTGCGTACTGCTGATGAGTCCCAAGGAAACAGCTGACTGTCCAGTACTCCCTGTGACTGGTTTTCAATAGTTCTCTGGCTGAAATCAATCCGTGGACTAACCAGATAATAATAATAATAATCAATAATATGCTTGCTTTAATACTTTTTTACTCATCAATATGATCTTTCTTATCATCTATTTTATTTGTTAGTCAAAGAATCCAGATGAATCACACAATGTTATCCATATACATTTTACTAAATGGGAGAATTTCGGTGTACCAACAACTGAAAATATGTGGCAACTTGTCAAAGAATATGATAGTACTTATCAGTCGATTGTGAAAAGGTCGAATGTTTCATCAATTGGTCCAACTGTTGTACATTGTAGGTGAGTTATGCTGAAATAATCATCTTGGTCTTTCTACGCTTTTTGGACAAGCCCTTTTTTTTCGCCTTGTTCAGACGAAAATAAAGACATCACTGAATGTGTGCAGATAACAGCTGAAATCTCTGATCCACAGGTTATTGTTAATTATTACTATTATTTTCGTGGTTTCCCAGTGGAACAGGGGGTTTTGACAGTACATCTTCTGTGAACTTCATCCCCCTGTCCTGATGTATTTTTAGCTGGCTCTGCGATTTTCTAGAATGTTTTCATTTCGTCCTCAGACGATCTCCTCCCCCTCCCACCGAGGAAACACATCGTTTCCTATTTTCGTTTCACTGTGTTGATAACACTTGGCGAGTGCTGTCATTCAGCGGTCGAATTTGCGACTGTTCGACAGTGTAAACCCAGAATCCCACCTCCAGGGATCGAACCTGGGAATTTAAGGTTGTGATGAGACCAAGCTGGTTGACCATTCGTGCACTTGGCCTGGAATTCAGTGACCTGCGAATTCAATCAATGTCAACGCGTGATATATAGTGCTGCCCTCAATCGAAGCCTTCTATGAGTCTCCAATTCTCCTTGAAATGGTGGATCCCAGTGGTCACAACCTCTTACTATAACCGAAGGACATCAATTCAGTAGCTATCAGTGAGCTAGAGACTAGTTAGCATTTGGATTTACCTTGCCAAGGTGAATTAGATTCTCATCGATGATTGCGGTAATGGAAGCGCTACATCACTAAATGACAAACGTTGAATACGCGGGGGTCGGGGAGGGGAGGACTGAACTCGATTCCAAGTGCCTGAGTGATCAACAAGCTTCATTCTGCACCCTGAAGGTGGTAAGTTGGATTCCCGGGACCTATGGTCATTGGGTTTGTGATATGTATCCATTTATATATATATATATATATATATATATATATATATGTGTATGTTGGTCTCTCTTTCTGTTTGCTCGCTTAGTCTGTGACCATTTCACTTGTATGAACTTGTCTCCTTTAACAATGTATATTCCTCTTATATTATATATAATATGAGTGTTTGTTGACAGTCCGTTGCTTAGTGACATATATCCATATTATATGTGTGGTTGTTGACATGTCTGCTATATTTTGCTATATATATATATTTCGTTCTCACAATTTGTGTGACTGACTTACTTACCACTTTGGTGTGATACCACTTTTGCATTCTCCTTGTGTTTGGAGATAGAAGCATCACCGCAAACCTAGTGGTCTTCTGATTTCCGCCTTCTCGCGTCAGGACTATTAGTTTCTCGACCAGTCCATAGCAATAAATTAGCGACGAGTACATAACAGTCTGCACTGCCGAAGAGGACACTGCCAAAATAGAACGAAACACCTGTGTCCTATGCTCCTTGGTTTCCAATGTCCCTTCTAACGAATCATGTTGGTTCGTGGTGCAAAATCCAACGGTCCAAATTGACCCAAAACCCCTCAAAAATCCTTTAAAATTATTTTACGAGTTGATCACGGACTGATATCAGTTATAGAACCATTGAAAACAAAGGAATACTGAACAGCTGTTTCATCCTAGTTTGGGAATCATCAGGAGTACGCATCCAGTGGGGTTCGAACCCAGGGGTCACGCTATATCACGAATTGGTAGAAGTTAGAATTCATGAACTGGCAATTGGATCGGGTCCCAGTGGCTGAATGGTATACAAGCCAGCTTGCCTTGCAACCGGAATGTCCTGGGTTCTAAACCCCTGGCGGTGGGTGCGTATTGCCGATGATTCTCAGACTAGGATGAAACATCTGTCCAGTACTCCTTGTGGCTGGTTTTCAATGGTTCTCTAGCTGACATCAATCCATGATCAACTCCTAAAAACAAAATTAACCCTTACAAATCAAATTATATAAATTGAATTATTATAATAAAGTTTGCGCTGAAAATGTGTCACTCAAGCTGGGAATACAAAAAAATAATAAATATTCAAACTCTGAAGACACACAAAACAGTCTCCACCTCTATCGTGAGCTATAAATTTCAAAGTAAGAGTCGGTTACCAGACAGCTTCTTGAAATAGGATGGCTGATACAAAGTTTGGTAACTGCTATGGATTGCTTACCTTACCTTACTACACAGCCAAAGATTTAGCCAAGTTAAAAATCTTGTCGAACATTCTTATTGCAGGATTTCATCATGAGCTGACATTAGTTAGAGAACCATTGGAAAAAACGCTGGGAGTAAAGGACAGCCAGCTGTTTGGGACTCTTTGTAAGTACACACCCACCACCAGGGTTCGAAATCAGGATGTTTTGGCCACAAGGCTAGCTAGCTCGTAGACTGTTATGTACTCGTCAACAAATTATTGTTATGGGCTGGTCGAGAAACTAATAGTCCTGACGCAAGAAGGCGGAAATCAGAAGACCACTAGGTTTGCGATGATACTTCTATTTTCCAAACACAAGGAGAATGCAAAAGTGGTATCACACCAAAGTAAGTGTAAGTAAGTGTAAGTCACACAAATTGTGAGAACGAAATATATATATATATATATATATATATATATATATATATATATAGCAAAATATAGCAGACATGTCAACAACCACCATATATGGATATATGTCACCAAGCAACGGACTGTCAACAAACACTCATATTATATATAATATAAGGGGAATATACATTGTTAAAGGAGACAGGTTCATCGAAGTGAAATGGTCACAGACTAAGCGAGCAAACAGAAAGAGAGACCAACATACACACACACATAAATATATATATGTGGATACATATCATAGACCATTAGTCAGCCAGTGGGACCCGATCCAGTGGCCCACTCAGTCCATGAATTCTAACTTCTGCCAATTCACGACATAGCGCTACTAGCACCAACCAATGTCTTCGAGGGCGAATATTTGTCCTCTCACGACTTCTCACGAGAACCCCAGGTAATTACTACCCACCTGAATAAGGCCTCCCCTATACTCACCGAAGACATTGGCTAGGGGTCGCGCTATGTCGTGAATTGGCAGAAGTTAGAATTCATGGATTGAGTGAGCCATCGGAGCGAGTCCCAGTGGCTGACTAATGGTCCACGAGCTAGCTAAGCTTTTGGTCAGAACATCCTGATTTCGAATCCTGGCGGTGGGTGTGTACTTCCAAAGAGTCCCAAACTAGGCTGACTAAAACAGCTGGCTGTCCAGTACTCCCAGTTAATTTTTCAATGGTTCTCTAACCAATATCACCTCATGATGAAATCCTGTAACCAATCAATCAACGAAATCCCTACAAACTAACACTTGAATATTCTTATTGCATTCTGCCTAAAGTTTTTGTTTCATACTCACTTTTTTCACCTTTTTTCCGTCTTTCTTTCTTTTGCACAGTGCTGGAGTTGGTCGAACGGGGACATTTATCAGCGTGCTGATAATTCATCGACATCTTCGATCAGCAAATTGTGAATGGATCACTCTGGCGAGTGTTGTATTAATGTTAAGACTTTGGCGTTGTTGTATGATTGAATTAAAGGTAAAAACTATTGTTTGTTTATTTGTTTTTTTTGTTGTTGGTTAAAGTATACCATTTGTGAATACTTGAGCTATTATTCCCCTTTAGCTGGCTGGCACCACAGGTTCTCATCTCCTCTTATCATGGGATCGCCTTCATTTCACCCTAGGAGCCAAGCTTAATAATAATAATAATAATAATTTGCTCTATTCCAAAACAGTACTTGTGATACAGAATGGAATTCTCTGAATTTTACTACAGTATTCCATCCAGTTTGTACATTAATAGTAAATAAAATTCTACATAGATTAAGGGTAATCTCAGTTCATTATGACAACAACATATTGGCATATCGGTTGCAAAGTCAACAGGGAAACAGAGTGTTTGAAGGTGTTAGAAAAGTAGATACCAGTATATTTACTGGCGTAAGCGGTGACCAGAAAGTCGAGTGTGAAAGAACGAAGAAGGTTTTAAAATAGAGTTTGTAAGGAAGAAACAAAGCAGCACATAACAGCGAAAAAAAGAGAAAAGGAAAAGAAAGAAAGAAAACGAACCTATAAATGATGATACGAGTTGGAAAGACGAGATCCAGTTGTTCTACTGACTATTTAGCAAGTTGTAGGTATCACGCTCAATGCTTTCTTCTATATCCCACAGAACACGAGCCAAGTAGGTTATGGTTGAGTTCTTGTACTTGCTAGTGCGAGCATATAGTTTTCTATATAGGCTTCTGGTTTTGTCTGATGAGATAGATACAAGGGGAGAGTTTTGAATGAAGAGGGTGGTGTGAGTTAGATAAATAGAATGGATTTAGCCCATTTTTCACATGAGTTCAAGTGCCTGTCGACCAGAATATTAACAAGCTGGTTAAGTGGCACCCTGTGGCTTACCCTGCTGATAACCTTTAACATCCTGCGTAATAAGGTATAGTCTGTTATGATGCTAGATCTTTGTCTCCAGGTAACTGCTTAACTACTGACCAGTGCCCATTTAACTGGTAAAGCAGAACACGCGATATTCATTTATTTATGACAAAAGTGACTGTATTTATACAAAAATAAGGTAGACCGGAAATCAACCAATCCGGTTGAGGGTTTGGAATTGTGCAAGCGTCCAATCAGAAAGCAGAAACAAATGCATGTCAACGACATGATAATAACTTGATAATTGCATGTGTTTTGCCTCTTCCTAACATAGTCTTTCTTCAGTAGCCCTGAAAAACTAAGGGGGAACAATAGAGAATAATAGGCAGAATGTAAGACTTAACGAATTGTAGGAGTAATCGGTTGGGTTATACCAGAATGTCTTAACTTCTTGGTGTAGAATGTAAGATAGGGAATATTTTCTTAGAAATCATGAAGATATGAGACGACTAGGAAAGATCAGCAGATAGAATGACACCTAGGTATTTAATTTCCGACTTAAATAAAGGTTTCTTGATAGGGACGTTGCTTGGCGCGTGATATCATTCAACCGTCTCTTTTGGTTACTTTTTTCCTATAGTTTCTTACTGCTAATTTTTTTCCGGCCAGCCAGTCATTTAATCTTCAATGTGGACAAAGAGAAGACAGCTGTTGATAGATAGATGTCTGTAACTTGTTGACGATGCTTTTCGTGGCACATAAGCAGTACAAGTTTCTGACCCCTATAGAAGGACTGATTGAATGACTTAACACTGGTGTTGAACAGAATCCAAATCTTGTTCTTTATGTGAGTTAGCTGAGTGCAGTGCAGAAGATTTACTAACCGCCTTCAGGTTGATGACGGCGTACCTCGTCTTGCCGATTCTAGCTCTTTTGACACCTTCATCCACTATTGTCACCTGCGGTTGAAACAATGCTTCCTAGATAGACGAGTGAACGAAATAACCTCTGGGATTCGAACCCAGGACCTTCGGGTTACAAGGCAAGCTGGCTCGTATACCATTCAGCCACTGGGACTTGATTCAATAACTCGTGAATTCTAACTTCTATCAATTCGTGATTTATCGCGACCCCAACCATCGGCAGTACGCCGATGATTCCCAAACTAGGATGTGAAACAGCAGCTGTCCAGTACTCCCTGGTTTTCAATGGTTCTCTAACTGATATCAATCCGTGATCAACTCGTAAAACATAACTAATCCTAACAAACCAAACTATAGAAATAACCTCTGTCAAATCCTTCTTGTGGATGGTGATTTGTGCTGGTTTTCGTTGTTGTTATGTTCATCACCTCTGTCTTCTCTGTATGTTCACCTGTGGAGTCTCGTCTTCTCTGCCTGCTTCTTCAGCCAGTTTGTTGATTTCCGCCCACCTGCAAGTCTTCAAGTTTGTGTTACATTCAACATAAATCATCTGTGAAATTCACATCTTCTAGAGTCTTATTGTCGGTGGTCCAACGTATTCCTGTTACATTTAACTCCATGTTCACAGTCTTCTGCATAATCCAGTCCACCACAATTAGGAATATTATTGTCAGTGAAAGTAGACAGGCAGGCTTGTATTACTCCTGTATTCACATAGAATGCCATTGTAGATCGCCTGACACACTGTTGAATGGGTATTAATAAATATTTGGGCTGCTGCATTCTTTAGTGTTGAAATGGTTTGCAAATTATTTCTCAGTCGACGCTTTCGAAGTCATATTCTTCATAGTGGATGAAATTCAAATGGAGGTTTGACTGCCATATTTGACGCTTTGTTCTATATTGATAGAAACAGGCATAAAGTGGAACCAAACAACAACAACAACAAAAAACTTGGCGGATCTGGACTTCGCCGATGATATACGTCTATTTCCCATAAACTGGAAGATATGAAAGTTAAGAGCAACAAGTTGGCAGAAGAAGCATCAAAGATAGGCTTTCAGGTGAGCACAGAGAAAACGGAAATAGGTGATAATGATTCCTGGCCAACACCAACAGCAGCAAAAACAGATAACAGTCAGCCAGCATATATGAGAGAAATCTGAAAGAAGTAACCTCTTTTACCTACCTAGCTACCTGGGAAGCATCGTTTCAACTACAGGCCAACGGAACTGATGAGGATATCAAAGCAGCAAGGATTGGAAAAGCAAGGCTAGCTTTCATTTCTCTCAAGTTTGTACGGAGGTCAACAACAGTCAGTTTGAAAAATGAAATCCGGATTTTCAACTCCAATGTGAAGTCAGTCAGTGCTACTCACTTTACGGATCAGAGACTTGGCACTGCGCATCACGAAGGGCACTTCGAACAAACTACACACTTTCATCAACAGCTAGCTGTCTTCACTCAATACTACTCAAGATCAGATGGCCGGCCAGAAAAGATCAGCAACAGGGATCTCTGGCAAGGAGCGAACCAACCCATCAGGAACCGATTGTGCAAGAAATATGCAGGAAGAAATGGAGGTGGATTGGCTGGTCATACTCAGAGAAAACAAACCATCGAGTGAGTGACATCACATGCCAGGCCATCGCCCGAGTGGAACCCGAATGGGGAGCGGTTACTTGGTCGTCAGTGAGAGGGTGATATGGAGGAGGAGGTCATGTGAAGAGGAGATGAAAGTATGCGGGCAGATGTGGAGCCAGGTGATGAAGACGTTGACAGAGAACCGAAGGGAATGGAGACGTTCGGCCGAAGCCCTATGTTCCTCTAGGAACTAAAGGAAAGAACAATAATAATAATCGATAGCAGTGATGCGTCGATTTGCTACTTGATGATCGGGAAATGATCATCATGATCCTAAATCCAGCTCGTTCCGATAGGGGAGGGGTGGGGTGCGGAGTCCTGCTTAAAGCAGAGCTTCTTTATTTCTCACCTTCCGAGTGTGACATCGAACTTCAATCTGTAAAGTTTCAGTAACCGTGATGCTGTTTGTTACTTTTCTGTTTTACGCAGTCGATTTGCTATCCTCACAAGCTTATTCATCTCTCCTCATTCGCCAAGTTTACTACATGGGCTAGTAAACTAGCTGAGACGACGTTTAGAAGTTCGTTGGTCGCGGGAGTCGAACCTTAATATGTTGTAGTCATATGATATCCGCTCTGTTTGCCAATCTGATATGGTTTGCTCTATGTGTCTATTGATCGTTGTTAATTTGTAATGACTCACAATCTATCTTGTCCGTTTATCAACTAAATAAACATTGAATGACCCTGGTCACGTGACATTATGGCCAATCAGAATCCAGTTGGCGGTAACAAAAACGACTTTATCTATCTTATTGATTCATATACACAAAAATAAGTTTAATAAGTTTGAATCAGGTATTTAGAAGACAAATTTCACAAGATGATATGGTCATTTCGTAGTTTCTTTACAACAACCGCTTAACAACTAACATGGTTAACAATAATGAAATAAAGCTCATGACAAGTACTCAGTTAAATAAAAAACAAAAGTACCTACTAATGACCAATCATATTTAAATAGGTCAAGTAGTCAGTCCATGGTAGGCGAAGATTGAAGTCTATTGTGTTGTTTTTGTACACATAGTTTAGGCTGTATGTGATTAATCTAACAAAGTGCTTCCATCACCTTCAATCAGAGGTATGTGAAATAATTGTGAAGCATTCATTAATATTGATTTTGTGACCTGAAATTATTAAGTGATTTGCAATGGATGATACTGGATTTCTATGCTTTAATAACTATGTTGTTACATGTTCTTTTCGACGACCATGACATTGGAACATTCTATTGGTTCTACCTTTATAGATGTCACCTCAACAAATACAGGTGAACTTTTAGTTACAGTTTGACGTAGAGTGTACAGAATTTCGTGCTTTAATCCTAGGTACATGGATCGAAGATGTTTGGCATGTAAGGGAAAGAGATGTGGTGTAGAATGTGCTTTTGATGGCTGACCGAAGTCTTTGAGCTAGCTGTCAACTGAATAATTTGATCACCCTCGAATAGTAGGTTGTTAATAAAGATAGCTTTCTTTAGTACAGAAGCTGTCTTTTCTAGATGTGGCCTATTCTTACTGTTATAAGTGATAAAGTTTTCTGGATAACCATTAGCTAGTAAAACTGGATGTATATGTCGAAACTCATCCATC